TAAAAAGCTTTATGAAACTTTTGCTGACAGTAATGAATGTTTGCGCTTGACAACAGGTTTTGATCTGTAGTTCACTCTGTAAAACTGGACTTATTTTTCTACAAAAGTTTGAACTTTGAGAGTGTTTAAACAAGAGAGAAAAGTGTGAAAATGTCATTCCTGTCTGAGAAAAGTGTATAAAGTGTGAAGGGTTTTACAGCCTTAAAACATCTAGAATAATTGGACAACATAAAGCTGACTACTTCACAGATTTCACCTATCGTGGGCTGTTTTTAGAACATATCTACCGTGAATAACAAGGGACCCCTGTACAGCCTATCTGTCTTACAGTAAAATACAGTTCATAATACAGTTAAATACTGTGTAATTTACAAAAATTGTTGGTAACACTTTATTTTGATGGTCCATTTGAGTATTAGTAGACTGAGAGCTTCATATTTGCTGATACTGCCTTTTCAACAGACATTTAACTGACTATAAGAAACTTTGCAAGTACATGTCAACTTACACTAACCTTAACCCCAACCCTAACCCCAACCTTAACCCCAACCCAACAGTCTACTTACCTGTATTATCTAATGATAATTAGTTGACATATACAGTTGAAATCAGAATTATTAGCCCTCCTGAATTATTAGCCTCTTGTTTACTTCCCCCCTAATTTCTGTTTAAGGTAGAGATGATTTTTTCAACACATTTTTAAACATAATAATTTTAATAACTCATTACTAATAAATGATTTATTTGATCTTTGCCATGATGACAGTAAATATTATTTCTCTAGATATTTTTCAAGACACTTCTATACAGCTTAAAGTGACATTTAAAGGCTTAACTAGGTTAATTAGGTTAACTAGGCAGGTTAGGGTAATTAGGCAAGTTAATGTATAACAATGGTTTGTTCTGTATACTGAAAATAATTATAGCTTAAAGAGGCTAATAATTTTGACCCTAAAATGGTTTTTAAAAATTTTTAAACTGCTTTTATTCTAGCCGAGATAAAACAAATAAGACTTTCTCCAGAAGAAAAAATACTATCAGACATACTGTGAAAATTTCTTGCTCTGTTAAACATAATTTGGGAAATATTAAAAGAATAAAAATAAAATCAAAGGGGGGCTAATAATTCTGACTTCAACTGTAGATGCAATGAAACTTAAATTCAACTAACCGACCATCAAAATAAAGTGTGACCATTACGTTAACAGCTTAGTTTATTTTAAGAAGCAAAAAACACCACATCGAACCTCCAAAATGAATAGCATCTTTATTAAAGGTTATTAAATATGCAAACACACGCACTTACAATAAAAATCACAGAACGTTTGGGTGAAAAATATACAGAACGCTTGGGTATGTCTGTTTATATCCTCAATAAAACTAAAGAATACAAAATAACTACTCACCCCATAAAATTCAGTATGTACACCAGAAAAATAGTGTTTTATATCAAAGAAGGAATATATTTTCAATAGTTATTATAAGCCAAACACACAAAAAACAACAAATATACAAATAAAATCTGCAAAAAAAAGGCAAAAGCGGAGCTTCTGTCATGCATGTGATGATGTATTTGTGGGCCGTCAGTCAGCTGTAGGCATGTGCAGAGCTCCCGCGGGCTTCGACATGTCCTGCGGATTTTCGTTTTTTTTTTGCTGCAGGTTTTACTAGCGCGAGTTTGATTTATTAATTGCTTTGCGTCCCTGACAGATTAAGTGGTTTTTCGTACAGTAATAAAACCAGCCTGCACTTAGTGGTGTCATACAGCGCCACACCACAGTGGGGGAAAGGGGTTCACTTTAGTTTAGTTTTTCATTCAAAAGGAATGAAATGGGAAGAAGCACACACCATGCTCCATCTGGGAGTTCATATATCATGTCTCAGCCTTAACGAATAGTAGTAAATGACCGCGCAAAGGTTACACACACACACACACACGCACACACAAAAGTGATTTGAAGGAAGGATTCGGTTGAAATACGATGAATACGAAGCATAAAACGAACAAAAGAAAGTCATTTTCTCTGCAAACAACACAGAAAAACCTTGACGTTTGGCAGAAAGTGGGCACTTTAAAAAAGCTTTGCTTAAATCAATAAAACCTTAAATGTTTTCTCAAAATTTATGTTCGCTTTCTGACAGATTCTTTATCCGCTGTGGATGTTGAATGGATAAAGCTAATCTTTGCCCAAACTGGACAATCCTGCTTTAAAAAGAGTCTCATGTGAAATCCACAACTCTGTACATGTTTACACTGGTATTCATACTAACCCGTTCTATTAAGTTTTAATGGCAGCAGCTTCGTGGATGTGTAAAAAAAAAAGTACCTCAAAGGGCACTTCAGCTTCTCAGATATATGTGTTTTGGCACAGAATCCCAAGCTACAGTACACAGGTGCACCGTAAACTACAGGCGCAATTAAACAGCTAATATTTACAGGGAAAGAAAGGAACGTTGCTGAAAAAAATATATATAATAAACACTAACTGTTTGTTCATACACTGTACCGATGAGATTCAGATTTCTACGTTGGCACGTCTGGCAGCATATTATAAAATGTTTTATAAAATACAGGCAGCGGTATGATAGGAACATTTAAAGCAATGTTAGGCACTGCATTGATTCGCCATACAGTGGAAAGTATTTGGACACGTTTTAAAATGCCTGCACGTCATTGCATTAGACAACAAAAACTGCAAACAAACTGACTCAATCTTGACTTTTGGATTTGTGAAGTGAGTTCTCCTCAGATTATATTGTTGGTTTGGGAACATTTTACAATAAGCTCTCAAATGTGAAAATAAATCAATTATCTAAATGACCATTTCAGTGCACCTTAAGATTACAGCAGAGTTAATTAATCAAACTGAACATAAAAAACCTAATATAATTGTAATTATTTATATTTTTGTAACTTTTGGTTTTTAAAAAAATCTAAATGAAACTTTTTAAATGTGTTTTTCAAAGGGATAAATACAGCTAAAGTCAGAATTATTAGCCCTCTTGTATATTTTTTTCCTGCATTTTTGTTTAACGGAGAGAAGATTTTTTTCAACACATTTCTAAACATAATAGTTTTAATAACTAATTTCTAATAACTGATTTATTGATGACAGCACATAATATTTGACCAGATATTTTTCAATATACTAGTATTCTGCTTAAAGTGACATTTAAAGGCTTAACTAGGTTTACTAGGGAAGATAGGGTAATGGGGCAAGTCATTGTATAATGGTGTGTTCCCACTAGACACGAATAGACATCCTGCAGAGCGTTTCGCATAAACGAGGTGGCGAGAATGACGCAATGTATGTGAAGTGGCGCTAGTTGAGCATTTTGTTCGTATGACTTGAGAATCACTGGAGTTGGAAAATCTGATCTTCAGCAGACATTCGTACTGTGTTAACTAGGGCTGTGCGATTAATCGGAATCAAATTGCCATCACGATTTACAACGTTGCAATTAGCTAATCGCAAATGGCCGTGATGTGTAATATATATTATTTAACTTCCCCCACTCAGAGCAAATGTGTGACTGCCGTCTGTGTGTGACAGTCTTACTAACCAACTTAGTGAGCACACTTTCGTTCTGCCCAATCAGAATTGCGCAACCGAACTATACGGAACGCCCACAATAAAACAAACAAACTGGAAAGTGCAAACAAGAAAAATTAGGGCATCTGCCGCTTTAGAAGCATTAACAGACTAATCAATATCAAAGAAAAACAGCATGTCGGTCATAAGGGAATATCTTGGTGTCACAGACACCAAACAAAACCAGGTCATTTGGAAGAGCTGTCGCAAAATTGTTGCCACAAGCAAATACAACAACCAGCACCTAAAAAGCACCACAGGCATCATATGAGGAGCGTCTTGTTAAAAAGTCAATTAAGATATTGTCAGTGACACTCAATCTAGTTACATGCAACAGCAAAGTAAAATTTCAGAGTTGTTGCTAATATAAGTTCATATCTGTTTAGCTCCTGAAACACTCGCTGCATTTTAGCAGTAAGAAGCTACAATACAGAATATTGAGCTGAAGCTTGACTATAAAATACGCAATTTAAATCGAAATCGCAATATCTGTCAAAAAAAAATGCATTTAGATATTTTCCCCAAATCGCCTATCGTTAACCAGTCAGGAGCTTGCTCTATGTTGGGCGTGATAATGGCGTAGTGCCTGTTGTTGTTGTCTCAAGGAGAAATCCTCCTGCCGACACCAGACAACAGCTCATCAAACTGGGCTTGACTCAGTCTAAAGCACTGCTGAAAGCCTCCATCATCCCGGTATATTTTCTGGAGGAGTTCATGAGGTAAGTGCACCTCTGAAAAGATCTAGTGGACTCAGACACGGCGCCGAACAAATCTATGCTGCTTTTCAGCCTTCCTAAATCACTTAAAGCACAGCTACTATCTCAATGAAATCCATGTTAGCCATTTAGCAACAAAGCTAGAGACAGACACCCTGCCCATGACGCAAATCTGCATCTATTGTGAAGTGAATTTGATGCGCGAATGAAGTGAATTTGATGTGCGACTAAAAACTATCATGCGTCTATTTACGTGCAAATGTCGCGATGTATTCGTGCATGCCGCGTCTGGTGTGAACACAGCATCATAGTGGTTTGTTTTGCAGACAAACGAAAACAAATATTGCTTAAGGGGGCTTATAATATTGACCTTAAAATGGTTACATTTTTTTTTAACTATTCTTATTTTAGCCAAAATAAAACCAATATTACTTTCTTCAGAAGAAAAAATAATATAGGAAATACTGTGGAAAATTCATTATAGTTTGGGAAATGTTTGAAAAAAATAAAATAAAATAAAAAACACAGGACGAAAAATTTTGACTTCAACTGTGTGTATGTATAATCTAAACAAAGCTACACATTTTGAAAAACTACATAATCATATTAAAACAATATATAAAAATGACAAAAACACCATAGAATTGTTTTACTCAGACATAACTATAAATCATAATTGCAGACAAAGTGAGCATTTTTAATATATATTTAATGTCTATTTATTTATACATAAAAAAAACGATTAAAAAATGATATTAAAATCTTCAGTAGTGTCTTGACTCTAATTTGGATTTTAACAACGTATTAGTAAATGCTGTGTGAGTATTTAGTGTCAGTTCATGTTAACCGATGAGACCTTATTGTAAAATGCTTCTGAAAAAAAGCTTATTCTGTGAAATGTTTTCTTAAGAAGTGTGCTTATTCAATCCTTTCTTGTTTTACAAGCCACTAGGTTTGACGTTTTGTTGTTTTGACAATGACATTCGCACATTTTATGTGTCTAAAGTATCGCTCTACTTTCTGGAGCCACTGACAACTCAAAATCAGCCCGGGAAGCCGTTCAAAAGTCTTTCCAAAGTCTTTTCAGTGTTGGCGTTTGCTGGCGTTTAGCTGGTGGTCATTGCTTCTGACGGTGATGCCGGTGCCTGCTCTCGCTCTGGGCTTTCTGGACAGACATACTCGACGGCGGATGTGGCGGATGTACTGAGATCCTGAGGTTGAGACTGGAAAACTTCGTCCTCCACTTCTGCATGTAGCCTCTCCTCCTCTGCCAGTTTGGCCTCCATTCGCTCCTGGGCCTCGATCTCCTCAGTGGTTGGGATTGAGTTCTTCTTGGGTCGGCCTTTAGGTTTGGTTGGAGCTTCGTGCCCTCCTTTTAGCACCTAAAAACACACACACACTATGTTAAAAAAAAGTTCATTAAGCTTAAAATTGTAGGCCAACTTGCTGCACAGCTTTGAGTTGACTTAACTTTTTAACCAAAGTACTGGACTTGACTCAATTTAAGTTGAGTCAACTCAATAACCTCTGCAGCAAGTTGTCCTAGAATCTTTTTTGCGCAAATTGCATTTATTACCTTACATAAGTTTTTTTTTTAAACTTTAATAGAACAAAACAAAAGAACAAAGAACAGAGAATACAACCAGTAGAAATCACTGTATCATAACATAAATAACGGCTGAAAATACAATAATAAAAGCAGTAAGTAGTCAAATAAGTATAATAATTAAATATAAATACAGAATAAAATATTAATAGTATATGATGATGATAATAATATATTTTATATATAATAAAATAATTATATAATTGCAATTATAACCATTAAAATTTACCAGGGTTTAATGTGATCTACCAAGATTTTGCAAAAATTTGTGAAATCCTGGGGCCTAAATACACACAAAACATGACTTTAGCTGCTTGTTCAACCTACTTATTTATTTTGAGCTGAACCAGCACAGTTATTATTTTATGTTCAATTGACTTAAATTTGTAAAAATGATTAAGTTAACTTAATCTATTTTTGTTGGGACAACATGAAGAAATTGTGTGGAAGCCTGCATTTTTTTTACAGTGTATTTTAGTCCAGGTCTCATAAAAAGCAAACATTTTACCCTTTTTTTAATTTGCTTTCTCAAATATACTCACTAAATTTTGTGTGTGTGTGTGTGCGTGTGTGTGTGTGTGTGTGTGTGTATGTATATATATATATATATATATATACACACACACACACACACACAATGTCTGAGCAGTTTTTATCTGACAAAACTAGCGTCTCTAGTAAAGTATACAGTATATATACTAATATATATATATATATATATATATATATATATATATATATATATATATATATATATACTTTATACCATATACTTTACTAGACATGCTATTTTTGTCAGATAAAAACTGCTCAGACATTTTCATCCACACATTTCACCACCTCAAAATGCATTATTTTCAAATATTTCAGCGGACCAGAATCAGTTATTCTGCCTAAACCATAGTCAAACCACTGTTCAGATAATACATTTCAAGTCAAGTTTTTGTCTTCAAAGTGCTCTTGTGTGTTTCGAACGCATCTTATCTAAAGCATTTTGTTTTTCAAATGTAATTATCGTCTGTTGTAGCTGTGAAATAACTGAAATCATTCAGCGTGGTGATATGAAACTGTAATGCAGTCAAAATATGCCTGCCTGGAACTACTACTACATTTTTCTGAAAATAATGGCACAGCTAGAGGTGGCATGGTGGCTCACTGGTTAGCACTGTCGTCTCAAGAAGGTTGCTGGTTCGAGTCCCGGTTGGGCCAGTTGGCATTTCTGTGTGGAGTTTGCATGTTCTCCCCGCATTGGCGTGAGTTTCCTCCAGGTGCTCGGGTTTCCCCCAGTCCAAACACATGTTCTATAGGTGAATTGAATGAACTAAATTGGCTGTAGTGTATGTGTGTAAATGTGAGAGCGTTTCTCTGTTCTGGGTTGCGGCTGAAACGGCATCCGCTGTTTAAAATAAATGCTGGAATATTTGGTGGTTCATTCTGCTGTGGCAACCCTAGATAAATAAGGGACTATGCATTATATAGTTGTGTTTTCTCATGAGTTCATCCTGGATGTCCTGCTTTATTTTTTAACCTTGGTTTTACACTCACCGGCCACTTTATTAGGTACTCGTACCAGGTTGGACCCACTTTTGCTTTCAAAACTGCCTTAATCCTTCATGGCATAGATGACGGCAAATTCTGACCCTACCATCCGAAAGTCGCAGCAGAAATCAAGACCAGGCAACGTTTTTCCAGTTTCTGAAAAACTCAGACCAGCCCATCTGGCACCATTAACCATGCCACAGTCAAAGTCACTCAAATCACCCTTCGTTCCCATTCTGATGTTCGGTTTGAACTGCAGCAGATCGTCTTGACCATGTCTACACACCTAAACGCGTTACGTTACTGCCATGTGATTGGCTGATTTAATATTTGCATTAACGAGCGGTTGAACAGGTGTACCTAATAAAGTGGCCGGTGAGTGTATATTGTATAATCTCCATATAGAGAATCAATGAGATATCGGCAGCTCTCAATGAATATACAATGATCAAAAATAAATCAAAGGTCACTACTAACTTATTACTTGACTAGTCTTCTCATTGGATACTTTACTCAAGCAATTATTAATGCTGTTATTTTTGCCATTTCTCCAGTTAATCACTTCAGTAATAGTTTTTACCGTTCCGTTTTTGGCTACTCTGTGAAAAATGTGGGCCTAGTCAAAGGTGAGGATGGTTATTACAGTGATTAAGGAAGACTTATAGCTGTGTGGGCTGTTTGTTCATGCTCATTTATCTCCGAGGTAATCTTTTGTTCCTGCTTGAGAGGTTGATCACACTGACGTAGACCTGTACTGTCCTTTAAATCATCACTCATGTCACACACACACACACACACAGATGGCGGCCGAGGTCGTAGCCGTTACACACACTGATTGTATTGAGTGCCGAGGAGGGCCGCTCAAAACTGTCTAATGGATTTTTAATGATATGTCTCAGAGTTTCCATTCGTGGTGGATTTTGAACGCGGATGTTTTATTGACAGTTTTCTAATGGACTATAGGCTTTGGAGGCCGATGATCCTGTGAGCTTGTTGGACTCACCATTTTCTTCCATTTCATGCGTCGGTTCTGGTACCACGTCTTCACCTGGAGCTGTGTGAGTCCCAGTGACTGAGCCAGATCCAATCTGCACACACACACAAAATAAGAGAAGTTAATCAAAGTACATCAATCAAACACCAATGGAAGATTATTATTCCAGTCCCATGCTGCCTATGGAGGGAACATTTAAGGCAACATGTTCATTGTCAAGTCTGTTCAATAAGAACAAAATGATGTGATAATGCTTTATTTTGGTGGCTCAGTGGTTACCAATGTCGCCTCACAGCAAGAAGGTTGCTAGTTCGAGCCTCATCTGGGTCAGTTGGCATTTCTGTGTGGAGTTTGCATGTTCTCCCCGTGTTGGCGTGGGTTTCCTCTGGGTGATCCGGTTTCCCCCACAGTCCAAAGACATGCGCTAAATTGGCTGTAATGTACTAGTGTGTGTGTGAATGTGAGAGTGTATGGGTGTTTACCAATACTGGGTTGCAGCTGGAAGGGCATCTGCTGTGTGAAACAAACGCTTTAAAAGTTGCCGGTTCATTCCGCTGTGGAGACCCCTGATAAATAAGGGACTAAGCTGAAGGAAAATGAATGGATGCTTTATTTTGATGGTCCCATAACGATAACTAACTTTGTAACTGTCAACTAGCGTCTGTTAATCATCTGTTAAAATCAGATGGTCTCCAAAAGACATTATTACTATGCACACACACACACACAAATAGTGTTTCTGCAGTTTTTTGTGGTAATTGAGGTGCAGATTACAATCACGGGAACCAATCTAAGTGTTATATAGCACCAGTCATGATTTATTAGAGTTTTTGGGGTGGTTAAGATGCTATTTCTAATAAAATGTAAATATGTTGGTGCTATGTAGTAGGGCTGCACAATATATAATTTTAGCATTGATATCGCAGTGTGCAAATATGCAATAGTCACATCACAGGATCTGCAATGTTGAGTTGGGATTACAATGACCATGAACCACATTCCAGAACTTGACTTGTAAAGTCATCGCAAATTGGAACCCTAATAGAGAGAAAGATTTTCATTTGGATGTGTTTTGTGCAACTGTGACCAAGATATCAAGTGAATTTAAACCAATACATTTGAGTTTTAAGTTTAGAGATTTAACAAAGATTAAATTGTATTTAGTTATTTACATACAATGTATGTCACGGTTGCAGGTTTGTGCGCTCTTCCGGAGTGTCTGTTTGATCATGTGGGTTTGTTTTGTTTTTGTGGCCCACGTTGTATTTGTTTTGGTCACGTGTTATGACGGCACTCAGTTGGATTGATTGTTCGCCAGCTGAGGCTCATTATCGTGCCTATATATGTGCGACGTGTTCTGTGTTTCCTTCTCAGTTCGTTACGTGTGCTTATGTGTGCTATCTGTCTGTGCTCGGGACCTGAGGAGTTTTTACTGGACCCTGTTTCCTGCCTGATTCCTGCCCTGTTTTCTCCTAGCCCTAGCACCGCACTTATTCCTTGCATTTGTTTTGACTGTGTGAATACATTTATTTTGTTCACTCGCACTTGGATTCACCCGAACATTCTTTATTTGTGACAAAACGAACTGACCGTGACATTACCCCTCTCTCGATCAATCCAACTGAGTGCCGTCATAACATGTGACCAAAACAAATACAACGTGGGCCACAAAAACAAAACAAACCCGCATGATCAAACAGACACTCCGGAAGAGCGCACAAACCTGCAACCGTGACAATGTACAATGTAACTTCATACAATTAAGACAATTCAATGGTATTTAATTAATGTTGATTTTATGTTTGTAGACTCAAAAGAAAACCAAAAAAATACGAAACAGTAAAAAAACAAACATTTTATCTTTGTTTTATTGCATTCATCTAAGCTTGCTAATTGTTTATGTTTTATGCAGATGTATGAAGTTATTTAGGTCATCTCATGTGAAATTATATTCATACCACAATGAGTATCGCAGAAAAAACAAAATATCGCAACATTTTTCCAATATTACGCAGCCTTATATGTAGCACTTAAAATGGTTTTCCTATGATTTATTTTACTTTTATTGTATTTTACCCTGTTTATATATGCTTTTGAGTTATATTATGGGACCTTGATCTTTCTTCCAACACCATTTAACCTTGAAAAGTAAAAAAAAAGGTGACTTTTGTGAACATTTTAATTGTTTAAAGTGCTATATTGTCTGGGTTGGTGCTGCCAGTACATTTTCTGTTATTTAAAAAACTTATTTCTCTATATATCATTTCTTATTCATTTTCAAACTACTAAAATGTCAAAAAAAATCACTTTGTTAAACTGTAGAGGTGATTTTTGTACATCAAAAGTCGACAGAGCAGAGATCAATATCCCATAATGCAATTCAGAACCGTAAATAAACAGCAAACACTTTATTATACCACTTTATAACACTTTAAAAAACTATATTATATTTTTATTACACTACATATTTATATAAAACAACAGAAGAACAAAATCCAAGAAACATTAGCTGTTTTGGTATCTGTGATCCTTCTGTCTCCTTCAGTCTCCAAATCTCCTTCTGTGGTTTCTGTTATAGCGGTGTCGGCAGTGTAAGAAAACTTCTAGAGTCGTCAATGACCTTTAAAACCCTCAAGCAAGTAACAAGAATGACCTCCAAGAAGGCAGGAAACTTCAGAACTGGATATAATTGAGTGAAATCCAGAAGTCACCTGTTGTCTTGTGCATAAATGATGCTGGGTGGCCATCCAGAGCGCAGATGTATATCTAATCGCTGCAAAATTTCCCAAAGCTGGCATGACAGATCTGAAGGTTTTGCCAAACCTTGAACCGAGGAGTCTTCCCAGGCCTTAATCTGGCTGTATTTGGACGGCAGAGGAGCTCCTGACATGGTTTTGAGGCGCATAAGAGGTGCCATCAGGCATCAGAGCATGACTAATGCTGATGTCGGGTGGCTGTAATGGAGGAGATGAAGGAAACAGAGACCCTGATATCAAACGAGTGTGCAGATTTGTGCTGCCGGTACCTTGAAAGAGTCTCTCAGGATTACAGTCAGTCCCTCTGAGGGTCCGGCAAGAGTCTTGATCTGCTGGAAATGAGCAGATTAACATTCGCTCGCAGAAGCCTTTCCACTTTGTTTGTCTGTGTGTTCGTTTCTTCTGCACTCTCTTCTGTGTTGAGTATGAAACGAGTACTGTGGCAGTACCGTAGTAAAGCATCTTTTAACATTATGTGGAATTTGTACTAATTATTCAATCATTTTCCTTTAGCTTAGTCCCTTTATTCATCAGGGGTCACCACAGCGGAATGAACCGCCAACTTATCAGATATGTTTTACACAGCGGATGCCCTTCCAGCTGCAACCTAGTACTGGGAAACATCCATACATACTCATTCACACTCATACACTAAGGCCAATTACGTTTATTCAATTCACCTATAGCGCATGCCTTTAGACTGTGGGGAAATCCGAAGCACTCGGAGGAAACCCACGGCAACACGGGGAAAACATGCAAATTTCACACAGAAACGCACTTAGCCAGGAACCAGCGACCTTCTTGCTGTAAGGTGTGAGTGCCCTTTACTTATTATTATGTTGCTTATTTTATCTAATATATGTCATTGTGTGTGTGTTTGTTATTTTTTATTTGTATTTTTATGTTTATAAAAATACGATTTTATTATATCAGGACTATTATAGTACACTTCTTACATATTAAAATAAATCTGCTACAAAAATCAACATTCTAGGTTATTATACACAAAACAAAAAATAAATGAATAAATAAATAAATATTTTTATTATTGAGAATCTATTTATTTTTTATTAAATGTGCATTGTAATAAGGAATGTTGATTTTGGAGAAGACATATATTTATATATATATATATATATATATATATATATATATATATATATATATATATATATATATACATATATATAGCGCACAGCAATACCACATGAAGAAAGGACAGACTTTGAAGGAATAAACAGTGTGAGGAGAGATCCATTATGTGTGCACTGGGCAACTCTGAACATGTTCCGCCCATGACGTGCGCGAGGCAGACAGGTCTGTACAATTCCTTAATTTATCGGCTTAAGAATATCGGCCTAATTTAGACATCGGATCGATAACGATAATCTTAAAAATAGCATTTATCGGCTGATAACGATATGGCCACTGATATAGCGTGCATCCCTAATATATATATATATATATATATATATATATATATATATATATATATATATATATATATTCAGCCTGATCTCACAAGAAAAAGTATTTTACGTTTTGTCAGTTTAGTGGCTAATTCAGTTCAGTTGTACGATTTTAAAAAGGAGGCGTGGCTCCTAACCCCACCCCTAAACCCAACTGTCACTGGTGGATGAGCAAATTGTACTAATTTGTATGAATTAGACCATACGATTTCATTGAATCAGCCACTAAATCAAAAAGTTACGAATTGCTGTGAGATTATGTTGGTATATTTTCTAATGATAAATATGTTTTATGTTGGATTTATAATAGAACTGTTTAACGATGCTTTGCTCATCCTAGTTTAAAAAATTATATATATATATATATATATATATATATATATATATATATATATATATATATATAAACCACAACAGAAAGTAATAGTGCTGTAATTTAGTGCTTTTGTTGAAACTTAAACAGAAAACAAAACTGTCTTCGTAAAACTGACAGAGTAAATATGAAATATGTCTTTATTTATTTTCTTAGTGTCACATTTGTCATATATCACACTAAATTGCATTTCAGTAAAACATATGAGTACAAATGGAGTAGAAAATGAGGGCTTTTTTGAAAGAAAGAAAAAACATCCCCAATTTAGATGTCAGTCATTTGTGGCTGTTTCTGTACAGTAATTGGTGGTAAGAAAAAGCAGCTCTGTGTTTGTGCTTATTATTACTGTTCAGAAACACACACACACACACACACACACACACACACACACACACACACACACACACACACACACACACACACACACGCTGCATTCCAATCTCGGCTTGTTTCTTCGAATTATGAGTGTAATTTAAGCTGAGTTTGGGTTCTGACA